CCCTCGACAGAAACAGAAGCAGAACCTTCAGGAGGTCCAGCGCGGACTTCTGAGGCCGAACGGCACGCCCGGGGGACGATCGCCGAGTGGCACGCCCGGAGACCTGCGGAGGATGGGCTCCGAGCCGCCTCGGGCGATCCTGGAACGGTCGCAAATTTCAGACCTCGGGATCATAAGTGGTGAGGAAGTCTCCAGCGAAACGCCTGGCCCCCCCTACCAACACGTCTGGGGGCGCGACGGGGAGGGGTTATCTGCCGAGAGCAGAGCGGACGAGGAAGAAGAGATGAACAAAAGGGAAAGGGGTGGAGGGGAGAGGAAGGGAGGCAGGAGGAGGCAGAAGGCATGCCGGGAAGGACGGACACGCCGCGCGGAAGGGCGCGATGCACAATCTGCACGCGCGGGGCAATGCCTCTCCGCGACGAATCACAACCTTCAGACACGAATCTTCGGTCGCATCCGTTGAAAGCCTTCGAATATGCTCTGGGTGTGTGTGTGTGTGTGCTGACACAAAAATAAATGTGCAGCTGGGCTTTCCAGCGCCGAAACTCCCCGGCATCAAGCACTTGGAGGGGACAGCGGCGCGGGCGAAACTCGGGCGCCCGCTGCGAGTAGCAATCGCGCGGCGCCAGTCGGGAAGCGCGCGACGCAGGCGCGGGAGTGGACCAGAACTGGCGCCAGGACAGCGCGGACCTTGCACTGGCGCGCGTGACGGCAGTGGACGGGCGACCAATCGGACTCGAAGTCATTGTTCGCCTGGCCGCCGCTCAAGCCCTGGCGGTCGTCGCGCATACCAGCAGCCGCGCTCGCTCCGTTGCGCATCGCAGACTACTCTCACGCCTGCACGGCCACTCCGCGGGCACATTTGCGGATGGTGGCCGGATGGAATGCGATTGCGCCGGGGGGGCACTGGCCACGGCGCCGCCAGCTCCCGGCAGTCTGTGCTGCGTGGCGGCAGACGGCGAACGCGCAGGCGGGAAGCCAGGGCCAGCGGGACAAGGCATGCGGGCGGGCGGGCGGGGAGGGACAGAGGGAAGACGGCAAGCAGATGGCAGGAAACAAAAACGCGAGGAAGAGCGGAGGGAGTGCTCTAGTGGGTGGTGGTTGCCAGGTTCGTCGGGGAGGTGGGAGGGGAGATTCGTCGTAGGGTGGTCGTCGTCGGGGGGTGGGGCAGGGCGAACCAAGACATGCCCTTGCGGGGCGTGTGCCTCCCGTCGCGCCGTAGCCCGCCCACCGCTGGCCTGTGGGAGAAGGGCCTGCCGCGTTGTTGCCTGGCCGGCAAAGGCCCTCTCAGGGTATGCCTTCCGCCCGCCGGCATTGGCTGGCACCGCCCGGCGTCGCGCGTGGTTTGCGACGCGCCCAACGACCGCCGCGCCAGAGAGGCCAATCGTCGTTGAAAGGGCGCGAACGGCGCCCGCCGAGGCGGCGTCGAGGGCTCGAAGCGTCAACGGGGGTGGGCAGGCGGCGCGAAGCGAAGCGAGCCCGCGTGGCGCTGCAGCAACGTGCACGCTCGATCCCAAGCGCGCACCATGGTTTTCGATTGTTGGAGGGGCGTTCAGCTTCCGCGAGATCGAGAAGCCAGACTCGTGTCTCTCGCTAAGCAGCACCGACCTCGACAGCGAGGGAATGATGCCGCGGTGTGTAGTTACGCATCGATGTCGTCACTCGTCTAAATGTGGCACAAACCCATACAACGTGCGTGCAAGAAGAAAGTTGACTCGGTGCCTCCAGATGTTCGTTCATCAATGCGCGCCCTCTCCACCTACGCTTTCTTTTTGCACATGCCAAGGGAGGCTCTGCCAACAATGAAGTTGACCAACAACGTCGGAAGCTCGGTACCCGACCTCTGTATGCAACGGCGTTATATCCAGCGGCGACGTGCTCTTTGAGGCTCGGGGGTCACCTCTCGGACTCGGGGGTGCGGACGGGGACTGGCGCTCGTTCCTTGGAACGCCGCCTCACCAGGATGCCAGCGCTGGCGCGGTCAGAGTTGGCACCCCTGACACACGCAAACACACACACACAAAGGCCAACCTTATTCGAGCCCGTGATCATCGTCGGGTGAGGGTAGCCGTCTGGTGCCGAAGTGCTGGAGCGCCAGAGCCGCACCGCGCGCCCAGTGCACGCGCTTGCCCCGTTGGCCCAGGGGCGCGACGCTGGCGCGGCGAATATTAACGGCCTCGCTGCGCCACATGCACAGCTTGCTGAAAGTCCACCACGCTGCGCGGTTTGCGCTGAAGAAGTGCAACATGGTCTCGAGACGGCCGGGGGGGGCCCTCGCCGCATCGCGCAAAGTCAATAAAAGGCGGCCCTGCGCTATCAGCGCGTCCCTCGACAATAGAGAACTGAATAATAATGTCGTTGTCAAGACTTGGGCCTAGCTTCGCTGGCTCGCACTAGGGGCACTTCGGTAGCACCAAACAGCCGCCCTCTACGGACCAATGATGGAGTCGGAAACCAATGATGGACTGGGGCGCAGAATAAGCGGCAAACATATCGACGTTCCTACCTCGCGCGCCGATCGCGGGCGCAGCGCCCCAGCGATGGGCGCGGCGACCGAGCCAGGGCCGCCGCCCCGCAAGCGCCCCGCGCGGGGGGCGCTCGCGGTGACGGGCACCGCGCCCGACCAGGCCAGCCTGGGCGTCAGCCCCCAACAGCGGGCGGGCGAGGCGGATGCGAACAGCCGACGACCGAGGCATCCCCGCGCACAGGAGCGGGCGGGGCAAAAACAGACGACAGGCCCGCGCCGCGGGCCAGCGCCACGCGAGCGCGGCGCCAAAATTTAACGCGAAACCAAAAACTACCAAACGAACAGCGCCAGGGCGCGCCGCGACCCGCCCTGCGCGTGACCCTCGCGGCGCGCCTGCGCGAGCGACCACGGCTGGCCCGCGCGCGACACCACGGAGATGCCAAGAAACGCGCGTGGGCGGCGCGCCCTGCGGTCGGGCAACATGCGTCGGGCGTCGCGCACGACCCTGCGCCGATGGCCCGTCGGCCGACCTACGACTTGCGCCCGCGCAGCACCCTGCGGGCCTGCGCCCCGCACAAATCTAGGCGCCCCTACCTCGCGTGCCCAATCTCGGGCGCAGCGCCCCAACGATGGGCGCGGCGACCGAGCCTGGGCCGCCGCACCGCGAGCGCCCCGCGCGGGGGGGCGCTCGCGGTGACGGGCACCGCCCCCGACCAGGCCAGCCTGGGCGCCAGCCCCCAGGGGCGGGCGGGCGAGGCGGATGCGAACCGCCAACGACTGGGGCAACCCCGCGCACAGGAGCGGGCGGGCGGTGCAAAAACGGCCAACGCGCCCGCGCCGCGAGCGAGCGCCGCGCGAGCGCGGCGCAAAAATTTAACTCGAAACCAAAAACTACCAA